GTGCACGGGAGGAGACGGCCCATCTTTCTCCCGTGGAGCAACTGGTGGATTCGAACTGTCTGCCTTTTGGGGTGGACAATGCGACTCCTTACCCAGGAGGCCACCAGAGCGTCCCATTTTTGTTGCTATGTGCCATCAACCTGGAATCAACCCTAGTAGATTTACGCTGCCCTTGGACGGGTCGCGGCTGAGCGTGTACATGGAGATGTCCGTGGAGGCGAAGCCCGGCGCGCCCGCGCCGCCCGCGCTCGTGTCCCGCGACGGCGACGGCTCGCTGGAGCGGGAGCTGGAGCGGGAGCGGCGGCGGTAGCGGAAGCGGTAACTGGGCAGGCGCAGGATGGCCGAGGGCCCGCCGCCGCCACTGCCGCCACTGCCGCCCGCGCCCCCGCCGGCCTTGAGCAGGTCCGAGCGCGACTGGCAGTGCGCCTCGCGGCTGCGCTCGATGTACATGTTGACGGCCAGCACGCCGATGACCTCGGCCAGAATGAAGGACAGCCCGCCGAAGTAGAAGGACCAGCCGTACGAATAGTGGTTCTTGCGCTCCTCGTCCCGCTTCGGGCCCGGCTCGCCCGCGTTCGCCGAGATGTAAACGATCACGCCGATGATGTTGCTCAGGCCTGGGCGGGGGACGGGCGGACGGGAGCCTCGAGGACGCCCCGGGCCTTCCGGCCGCCCTCCCCGCGAGGACTGACACCGCCCGGGTGCCCCAGGACCCCCTGCCCCGGTGCCCCAAACACCCCCCCATGGTCCAGGCTCCCCGCCCTGTCCTAGTGCCCCAGGATACTTTCTTGTGCCCAACGCCCTCACACAGGTGCCCCTGGTCCCCTGCCCCAGTGACCCAGACAAACCCCATCCTGGTGGCCCAAGACCCCCGCCCCGATGACCCAGGCCCCTTTGCCCCGTAACCCAGGACCCCCGCCCCGGTGACCCAGACACCCCCGCCATGGTGGCCCAGGACCCCCGCTCCAGTGACCCAAGACCCCCGCCCTGTCCTAATAACCCAGGATACTCCGCGGTGCCCCAGGCCCCCCTCCCACCCCGGTGCCCCAGACACCACCACCCCCGGGTGGCCCAGGCTACCTGCCCTGTCCTAGTGAGCCAGGACACTCTCTGGTGCCCCAACACCCCTACCCACGTGCCCCAGGACCCCCCAGCCCCAGTGACCCAGACACACCAGCCCAGTTGGCCGAGGACCTCCCACCCAGGTGATCCAGCTCCCTCACCCAAATGACCCAGAACCCCCACCCCAGTGACCCAGGATAATCCACAGTGACTCAGGACCTCCCACCCCAGTTACCCAGAATACTCCTCGGAGCCCCAGGACACTCGCCCCAGTGACCCAGGACACCCGCCCTGTGACCTAGCTCGCCCCCTACCCAGGTGTCCCAGACACCTCCTGTCCTAGTGACCCAGTTCCCCACTGCCCCACCCAGGTGACCCAGACATTCCCCCTTGCCCCGGTGACCCAGGAACCTCCCCCCACCTCGTGACCCAGAACCCCTTACGCCCGGTGACGCAGCCGCCAGCCCTCCCCTTCCCCCACTTCACCTCCTGGGCACCAGTGGCTCAATTCTAACCTGCGCCCCAGATGACCCACCCGAGGTGTCCTAACCCCCTCCCCAGGGGGTCCAGGCTATATGCGTGTGTGTATATATATGCTATAATAGCGTAGGCACTGCTCAGGACAGCCCAGCCTGGACCACTGACTCAGTCCCGGACCAGCCGCTCTAAGATCCACCCCACGAGCTGCTCTCACGTCGCCCAAGCCCTGCCCAATTGACCTAGCCCCCCTTCTCCTACCCGCGCTGCCCCATCTGCGCCAGGCCTCGCCCCACGTGGCATGAACTCCGCTTCTGCAGATCAAGCCCTGGCCAGCCGGCCCTAGCCCCGTTCCAGGTGGTTCAGGCCTCACCCCTAGACGATCTGAGGTCAGCCCAGGAGCCTGAATCCAAGAAAGGGTTCACCACAAATGGTGGAGACCATCCTCGGGCATCCGGCCTTGGCCAGTCCAAGCCCCACTCAACTGGTCTAAACACCTCCCCATCTCATCATCTACCCCAGCGCCTCCTCTACCTGCTCAGCGCCCCCCCCCCCCATGATTCTGCCTCCGCCTCCAATGACGCAGGGCCAGCTCCTGATGACCGAGGTCATACCCCGTTATGGTGCTAACTCGGCTTTCCCTCATGTCTCCAGACCCTGCCTTACCTAGTCCAGGCTATGGCTTCAGCAGGCCCAGGGCCAGCCTCCCAACACATCCTGCCTTCTATGAAGCCACTCATGGGTCTCCAGGTCCTGCTCCATAAAGTCCCTGCCGCGGCCTCCTGGGAGGCCGCCCCAACCTGCCCTCTAAACCTACTGCTGCTTCAGATTCCGATCAGAGTGACCCTGGAGCAGAGCGCACAATGGTCCCATAAGGTTTCGAGGCTGGAAAACTTGACAGAAGCAGAAAGCCTCCACTTTCTCTGGAGAAGCGCAGGTGACTTAAAAAACAACAACAAAAAACCAACCAGTGGGCCGTTTTAACAGCACCAGCCACCAGGGCTCTTTTCAGAGTCAAAGCCCCTGCCTCCGGGTGGCTCCGACTCCCCGCTGACCCTCCAGTGGGTTTCCACTGCTGTAGACGGTGACAGGAGGACCACAGAGCAGCGGGTGGGTCCGAACCCTCGGAGGCACACACAGCCTTTGGTTAAGCAGCACAACTCGGGAGCGAATACACCGTCTGCGCTCCCTATGTTGTTGCTGTTATGTGCACGGGAGGAGACGGCCCATCTTTCTCCCGTGGAGCAACTGGTGGATTCGAACTGTCTGCCTTTTTGGGTGGACAATGCGACTCCTTACCCAGGAGGCCACCAGAGCGTCCCATTTTTGTTGCTATGTGCCATCAACCTGGAATCAACCCTAGTAGATTTCCAGAGGTAGTTAATCTTATGGGCGAAGTGTCCATCTTTCTAGCTGGTGGATTCAAACCACAGGCCTCCGGGATTGCAGTGCAGCTTCTTATCACTAGGCCATCAGAGCTCCCTGGAACTCCCCATCGTGGTTCTAAATGAGAGTCGAATCTCCCTCAAGGGTGTGCAAAACTGTGACCATCTTACAGAAAACACTTGGATTCACCTTTCTGCCAGGCTCAAACGGTTCAGATCTTTCAATTGGCTGCTGAGTGCTTTTAGTACCGCGCCACTAGGGCTCCTCAGAGGTTACTGAAGGATCTCAGAGGGGAGGATAGGGGCAAAGGGCCGCTTGGGTCAGATCCTTTGGTGACTCTTGAGAGCCTTAGTCTGGGCTCAGCGAGGAGCTGGTTCCCACATCTTAGAGCTGACCTTGACTCATTGTAACCCCACTGAACTGGGGCCAGTCATCCCACAGGGTTGCCAAAACTGGCATCTTTATGCAAACTTGACTGCCATCTGTGTCTCCTGTGGAGAGGCCCGAACCAGCAGACCTTCTGGGGAAGCTCAGCTCTTTAACCACTAGGCCCTCATCAGGGCTCCTAAGTTTTGAAGCTCCCGGTCCCTGATAATCTAGATCTTAACTGGTTGAAGCTGGTCCCTTCTGACCCTGGTTCAGGCTCCTGGATAAGCAGGGTTACTTTACACTCTGAAAATCCCACTGCACTAC